GGCTACTGGCCCAGATGGGCCTTTGGTCTGACCTAGTATGGCTGTTCTTATGTACAATATTCATTATTTAGAGTCTCTCATTAAATCAGATTGCAAATTATGCTCCCTTTTCTACTGGAATAGAACAGTTTCTCCTTCACTTCAGCTAAGTGAATTCTCTTCACCATGTCTCCAATAGAAAGAAGGTGTGCATTTCCACCTGCTAACCAGTTTCAGGATAGAGACTTGACTGGCGAGAGAAATGGATATATTTATGGATCTATGATCTAAACGGCAAACCATTTTCAAAATGTAGAGGAAGGTTGTGCTATTTCTCAGTAAGGCCTGAAGTAGGAAACTTACATCTGCACAAAATAACTCACAAGCAAACAAATGCTCACTTTAAAACAAACCCAGATACTTAAAAGTTCTCTAGAACAGAACACACGGTAACAAACTAGTCCGAAGAAAGCTCCAAGCTATGGCTTTTCATTTTTGGTTTAATGTACAGAGTGGAGTATGACACCATGCTCCAGCATTTTGGAATTTTACTTAGATCTTTAGCTTTCTAGATTCTAGAAAGCCTTTTCTTAGACGCTTATCTCTATGAAACTAAATGTTAATGTGTCTCTAACTATTGAAGACTGGCCTAAATTTTCAGATGTGACTACTGATTTTGGATGTTACTTGAGCCACCTTTAAAGAGTGTTTTTTGAAGGGCAGGTGCTCTGTGCTTTTTGAAAATCAGGCCCCTTTTAGGTGCGTCAGGGTGGACACCTAAAATCATTCCTCACTTTTGAATACATAGGCCACGCAAGGCCAAGTCCTGCCAACACTTAGAAGTATGAGCAACCCCACTAGAGTATATTAAAGACGGACATAAGTCTTTGCAGGATCAGGGCAGCAGTCATCACATCTGGATATTTCAATGAAACGCAACACCCCCTTTGTTAGGGCGCACAAGTATCAAACGCAAGGTACTGGTTTCTACCACCTTTCTTCTCGCTCCGCCTTTGTCTCCAATTCCATGGCAGGAGCCAGTGTGGGAAAGCAGGCTAAATGGCATATTCAAAAGCTCTGCTAAGGAAGGAAAGAAAAGGGAGTGCAAGCGTTTTCTTTTGTCTTCCTTTTCCTGCCAGCTCCAGCTTTTCTGCTCCAGATGTTGCACGCTCCTTTTCTCTTTAAGCAGCTACAGTCTGAAAATACAACCAACTAGTTTTGGGGTTTGGCTTCATGTCTTTTTGCTGCTGGTTTTCTGTTTGCGGAGGTGAGCCTCAATCTCATGCCTGAAGACTAGCATCCCCAGCTGGCCATGAGAAGCCTCATTCATGGCTTTGGATTGCATGCACATCTTGTACTGCTCCGGGGTCAGCTCATCCGGGCAGCGCTTTTCATGCCAGAGATGGAAGAGGCCCCGGACAGGCGTCCTGACCACGATAAGGTTGCTGTGAAGGTATTTGCGGTAGAGATGCACGTCTTCTCCTCCCCAGCCTTTAATGTCCAGATCAAAGCCACCTAGTGCAAAGAAAATTAGACATAATTAATGCTAGAATCATAGAATATCAGGGTTGGAAGGGACCCCAGAAGGTCATCTAGTCCAACCCCCTGCTTGAAGCAGGACCAATTCCCAGTTAAATCATCCCAGCCAGGGCTTTGTCAAGCCTGACCTTAAAAACCTCTAAGGAAGGAGATCCTACCACCTCCCTAGGTAACGCATTCCAGTGTTTCACCACCCTCCTAGTGAAAAAGTTTTTCCTAATATACAATCTAAACCTCCCCCACTGCAACTTGAGACCATTACTCCTCGTTCTGTCATCTGCTACCATTGAGAACAGTCTAGAGCCATCCTCTTTGGAACCCCCTTTCAGGTAGTTGAAAGCAGCTATCAAATCCCCCCTCATTCTTCTCTTCTGCAGGCTAAACAATCCCAGCTCCCTCAGCCTCTCCTCATAAGTCATGTGTTCTAGACCCCTAATCATTTTTGTTGCCCTTCGCTGGGCTCTCTCCAATTTATCCACATCCTTCTTGAAGTGTGGGGCCCAAAACTGGACACAGTACTCCAGATGAGGCCTCACCAATGTCGAATAGAGGGGAACGATCACGTCCCTCGATCTGCTCGCTATGCCCCTACTTATACATCCCAAAATGCCATTGGCCTTCTTGGCAACAAGGGCACACTGCTGACTCATATCCAGCTTCTCGTCCACTGTCACCCCTAGGTCCTTTATATGGTCTCTACATGGAAACCGCAACCAGGAAAATCATCCCTCCTAGTAAGCCTAGAACTACATTAAAACCTCCAACACCAGTCTTACAAATGAGCAGTTACATGAACCATTTTCCTGACCAGAAGAAAAAAGATCCCATAATGAAAGTGTGGTCAGTGAAGAACAAGTTGCCAGCCCTTCACATTCTGAAGCCTCCAGTACATTTGGAATTCGCGTGGCAGTGGTTTGAAGAACAAAAAGAAAGCAATGCCATGCACCCCACAGCAATTTGTGCTCTGTGCTTACTGTTATTTTGAGATGTTCAATTTTACGAACTTTCTGATTTTTATGAATGCCTCAGTCCCCAATTAGTTTGTAAAACGGGGGTTCTGTTGTCCTATGACACCCCAGCTCTTTGTGGCCATCAGCTGTGGCGTGCTTTACATTTAGACCAATTTCAGCAAAAAGCGTGAAATGCCAAACAATCCTACATTTTTAGATGTCTGTTTCCCTCGACCTGCCACCACAGACCAAACTGCTTTGTGTTTGCATCAAGCAGCACTTACATTCATGCTCTGTTTCCTAAACGAGAGCTCAGCTGAAGGTTGCAGTTGCATTTCCTTTATAAGCCTGGACCTCTGCAACGCCGGGGCAAAGCAGAGCAGAGTCAGAAAGCAAGTCAGCCACTGGAAGCCGACGGGGGAAAAAAATTCCTGCCTGTGATTTGCATTTCTCATTTTCAAAAGCTTCTGCTGGAGTCAAGGGCAGAACGTCCTCCATGCGGGGCTGGTGAATGAGCTCCTGCACCTGGGCTGCACTAGGCAAGGTGTGCGGACCTTCAGGATACCCTGCAAAGTGCATCTGTTCGTGTGGGCTGGTGTGGAGGAGGGGGACAGAGCTGTGCCGGGGGGAGAGGAGTGATGTAGTTCTGCTAGTTGTCAGGTGGCGGGCAGGAAACTGCTTCTTAGCGTGCTGGTATGTTAGAGCTTTGGCCAGGTACCTCTCCTTCCTATCTGTACGGAAACTCAAAGCACAATACTAAACAGCCTGGGACTGAAGGGAGCCCTTTGACTCTGTTATTGGTTCTCTCCCCACCCGCGTGCATTGTTTTTAGATGCCTCCTCGCAGCTGCTAAAGCAGCCAGCAGGTTGGAAATGCCTGAAATGACTCCAGATCTCCCAGTTCTGCCTCCGCTCCTGCTCCGGGGTGGCGGCTCTGACCTTGCTGACTGGTTGCAGACAGTCGTTCTGGAAGGGCTGCGTCTGGGGCAGGCAGAGGGCTCCCCCTTTCCATCATGCTCAGACAGCCAGCCCCCCCCAGGCAGTTCTGCTCCCTCCTGGCAGCTTGCAGAGGAGCTCTTGGTACCAGAAGGGAATGTCTGGAGCAACCAGAGCTTGGGGATCTCCAGATACTTGAGTTTCTGGTGGCTCCTGATACTCTAAGGCCATAAACTACTCCAGGGGAGCCCTAGCCAAGCAGCAGACTCCCAGCAGCCTTGGGGTGGGACAGGAAGCGTTGACTGCATCTCAAGAGCTTGAGGCAGGTGTGGCCAAGGCTTACTGTCCTGGCCAACAGGGGCTCTCTGGACTCCCCTAACATCTCTGAGCCTGTCCCTGCTGGCTGCAGGATCAGGGTATATAGGTGAGCACATGGACTCTGGTTTATGAATTGGGATGAGAGGCTAGGAGAGGTGGAAGGACTGGGAGAGCCCTGGACTCTGAAATAGGCCCTGCACAGTCATAGTTGGGTAGCCATCAGGGCAGCGTACGCAGCTCCTCTCTCACCACTGGCACTGGTCGCAGGGCGGCAGTTGTGTGGTGTCTAGAAGGAAAGCTCTGGGCTACTGGCTGGAGGTGTTGCTGCTGAGTTTGTGCCTTTTGGGATGAAACTAATGGGAGTTTTGCTGTTGCACTCAGGGGTGCAGGATTTGTCCAGGATTTGTCAATGGTTGGCAGGGTGAAGATAATGGTCTGACAGGCTGCATGGTACCTGCTGTGAATGCCTCCAGGGAGCAGTGGGCCCATGGACCAGTCACAACTATGCCTTACCCTTCCTGCCATCTGCAGCTGAATTCCCATCTGATGAAGAGGAGACTCCTGTGCATGGGGGCCAGGAACACTCACTGGGTCCCACTATTCACTATGCTCTCTAGGATCCACACATCCCTCTCCCTTCCACCCCAGTTAACCAAGCACTGGATGCTCACTCTGACTGCAAACAGTGCGGAAAGAAGCGAGCTCAGGCACTGTTTCTTCATCATCTCTCTTTGAAGATGTCAAGGAGGGAAGTTCTGTAATACCTAGTGAGATTTCTCCATCAACTCAGCTCTCCCAAATGCAAGGGCCCAAGGGACATTTTAAATAGAAAATTTTAAAAGGACTATATTGGAAACAGCTGTTTCATCATAATACATTTCTGATACCCAGGCTGAATTAGCCCTGAACGGTGTAAATGAACTGGATTCTCAGCTGTGCCCCATCGCAATTAACAGTTGGCCCGGGAGCCCAAAGGATCCTGAATAGTTTAGAGTAGCTTTGGGGCTGCTCTAAAGTGTGCCAGCTGGCTACAGCCCCCAGGGTCCCGTATGGCAGCTAGGAATAGCCACAGTACAGTAGTGGTAGGCCACACTCCCTTCACAGGGGAGTGGCACAAAGGGGCTGCACTGGGGAAGAGAATCTGAGCCAGCATCTCTAAAGCAGGTTTATTTAAGTGCACGTTCTTACCTATGTTGATAAAATCAGACCGGTACTGACATGTCATTCCAAAGCCAAAGTCTCTCCAGAATCCAGTTTCCTTTTTTATAACCTTGGGGGTGGGGGAAAAGGAACATTTATATCAGAGCAGTAGAATTTGTAACCTGAGCAAAAGAGGGACACCCCTACAGGGTGGCTAGGAATGGGGACAGCCACCCCACTTTGTTCTATCCCATACTGCATTATACCCTGTCAGTGGAGAAGGGCCTGACCCAGCTCTAACTGACTTCAGTAGTGGCAGACTTCAGCCGAATGTTTCTGCTAAAATTAACTGCAGGCTGTCTGCAGACTCAGGAAAACATTGCATCATGAGTCACCTTCTGAAGATTATTTTCATAAGCAGGAAGGTTGTTATTCTCAATGACAGCTTAGTTTCCACCGGCTCTGAATCTGTCTTGGGGATGTATTAAGACATCAGGAAGTGAGCCAGTCTCATGCATTGATTACAGTTTACAAGAGTGCTGCACTAGCAGAATGACTTCAGGGGTCTTCTAAAATAATTCAGTACTAATGTGACACTGTTTACAGATGCAATTTGGCTGGTGGAACAAAATGACTTAAAACCACCTACAAATTGACATAAACAATTAGGAAAGCCTGTGAGATTGAAATATTATTTGAAATACAGCAGTGACCAGAGGAGCTAACCAAGTTCAGGGTGTTATGGTGCTAGGCACTGTACCGACATGTAGTAATACACAGCCCCCAAGGAGCGAACCATCTACATTGATAAGACAAACAACGGAGGTGCCATTGTCCTGATTTTACAGATGACAAACTGAGGTACAGCAAGATGAAGACCAAGATCTCCAAAAATAGGGATCTAAAGTTATGGTGTCTAAGGGTATGCCTACACTACGAAATTAGGTCATTATAGAAGTCAATTTTTAGAAATCGATTTTATATAGTTGATTGCGTATGTCCACACTAAGCAGAGTGTGTCCTCACTACAGTGGCTAGCATCGACTTACGGAGCAGTGCACTGTGGGTAGCTATCCCACAGTTCCCCCAGTCTCCGCCGCCCATTGGAATTCTGGGTTAAGCTCCCAATGCCTGATGGGGCAAAAACATTGCAACGGGTGGTTTTGGGTACGTTGTCAGTCGCCCCTCCCTTTGTGAAAGCAACGGCAGACAATCATTTCGCGCCTTTTTTCCATGCGGATGCCATATTGCTTTCAGCAGACAGTGCAGTAGGACTGCAAACCATCGTCATCCACCGCTTCTGCTGCAACTCTGCTCTGCTGCTATTGTCTCAATAGCGAATTTCTCCATGTTGTCTGTCATGGGCTCCCGGGTATGTGTGTTCTTCCTTGGGAAATGTGCGTGGTGCTAACCGTCGTCATCCACCGCTTCTGCTGCAACTCTGCTCTGCTGCTCTCATGAATCCACCTCGCAGGTCCTCTCGTCATTCTCTATAAATATCTATTCTCGTGGCATCCATCATCAGCCACCGCTGCAACTCTTCTCTCCTGCAGACGCCATACCATGGCAAGCATGGAGCCTGCTCAGATCACCGCGGCAGTTATGAGCATTGTAAACACCTCATGTATCATCATGTGGTATATGCAGAACCAGAACCTGCAAAAGAAGGCGAGGAGGCAACAGCAGCGCGGTGACGAGAGTGATGAGGACATGGACACAGACTTCTCTCAAAGCACAGGCCCCGGCAATTTGGCCATCCTGGTGGCAATGGGGCAGGCTCATGCCATGGAACACTGATTCTGGGCCGGGGGAAACAAGCACAGACTGGTGGGAGCGCATATTGTTGCAGGTCTGGGATGATTCCCAGTGGCTGCAAAACGTTCGCATGCATAAGGGTTTCATGGAACTTTGTGACTTGCTTTCCCCTGCCCTGAAGCACAGGAATACCAAGATGAGAGCAGCCCTCACAGTTCACAAGCGAGTTGTGATAGCCCTCTGGAAACTTGCAATGCCAGACAGCTACCAGTCAGTCGGGAATCAATTTGGAGTGGGCAAATCTACTGTGGGGGTTGTTGTGATCCAAGTAGCCAACGCAATCACTGAGCTGCTGCTATCAAGGGTAGTGACCCTGGGAAATGTGTAGGTCATAGTGGATGGCATTGCTGCAATGGGATTCCCTAACTGTGGTGGGGCGATAGACAGAATACATATTCCTATCTTGGGACCGGACCACCTTGGCAGCCAGTACGTAAACCGTAAGGGGTACTTTTCAATGGTGCTGCAAGCACTGGTGGATTACAAGGGACGTTTCACCAACATCAATGTGGGATGGCTGGGAAAGGTACATGACGCTCACATCTTCAGGAACTCTGGTCTGTTTCAAAAGCTGCAGGAAGGGACTTGCTTCCCAGACCAGAAAGTAACTGTTGGGGATGTTGAAATGCCTATAGTTATCCTTGGCGTCCCAGCCTACCCCTTAATGCCATGGGCTCATGAAGGCATCCTGGACAGTAGTCAGGAGCTGTTCAATTATAGGCTGAGCAAGTGCAGAATGGTGGTAGAATGTGCATTTGGATGTTTAAAAGCAGCTGGCGCAGTTTACTGACTCAGTTAGACCTCAGCAAAACCAATATCCCCATTGTTATTGCTGCTTGCTGTGTGCTCCACAATATCTGTGAGAGTAAGGGGGAGACGTTTATGGCGGGGTGTGATGTTGAGGCAAATCGTCTGGCCACTGATTACGCGCAGCCAGACACCAGGGCGATTAGAAGAGCACAGCAGGGTGTGCTGCGCATCAGAGAAGCTTTGAAAACCAGTTTCATGACTGGCCAGGCTACGGTGTGACAGTTCTGTTTGTTTCTCCTTGATGAAAACCCACCCACTTGGTTCACTGTACTTCCCTGTAAGCCAACCGCCCTCCCACCCCCCTTCGATCACCGCTTGCAGAGGCAATAAAGTCATTGTTGTTTCAAATTCAAGCATTCTTTATTAATTCGTCACACAAATACGGGGATAACTGTCAAGGTAGGCTGGGAGGGAAGCACCGGGTGGGGTGGTGGATGAGGGGAGGAGGGAAGGACAAGGCCACACTGCACTTCGAATCTTATTGAATGCCAGCCTTCTGTTGCTTGGGCAGTCCTCTGAGGCCCCGCCCACTCCATTCTTGGGCATCTGGGTGAGGAGGCTATGGAACTTGGGGAGGAGGGCGGTTGGTTACACAGGGACTGCAGCAGCGGTCTGTGCTCCTGCTGCCTTTCCTGCAGCTCCACCAGATGGCAGAGCATATCAGTTTGATCCTCCAATAGCCTCAGAATTGGGTCCTGCCTCCTCTCATCATGCTGCCGCCACCTTTCCTCTTGCTCCTGCAACCTCTCATCTTGCTCGTTCCTTCTGTCCTCGCGTTCATTTTCTGCTTTCCTGGACTCTGCCATTGTTTGCCTCCATGCATTCCGCTGAGCTCTTTCAGTGCAGGAGGACTGCATGAACTCAGAGAACATATCATCATGAGTGCGTTTTTTTCGCCTTCTTATCTGCCCTAGCCTCTGGGACGGAGATGATAGGGAGAACATTGAAACATTTGCAGCTGCGCTAGGAAAAAAAGGGACGGTAGTATTTAAAGAGACACATTTTAGAGAACAGTGGGTAGACTCTTTCACGGTGAACCAAGCTGTTAACATTACATAGCACATGTGCTTTTGGTACAAGGTCACATTTTTCCTCTTATTTTGAGGCCCTGCTGGTTTGGTGTGAGAGATCACACATGCAGGGCAAGGCAACAGAATTTGGCTTGCAGGCAGCCATGGTAAGCCACAGTCTTTCAGCTTCTTCAACCTTTGAAACGGTTCCCACATGTTATAAACAGCAGAGCCCTCCTTTCCCATACCAAGCACCTATTGGGTTAGCCATTTAAAAGGAGGGGCTGCAGTTTTTGGATTAACGTGCAGCACAAACCCAACTAACACCCCCCTCCCAATTCTCTGGGATGATCGCTTCACCCCTCCTCCCACCGCGTGACTAGTATCAGGGAAAATCCCTGCCAGCCAAACACGAACAGCTCAGCATGAATGGTCCCCCCTCACCACGTGGCTAAAAGCGGGTATGATTTCTTTTCAGCCACAGGCAAACAGCCCAGCAGGAATGGCCACCTCTGAATGTCCCCTTAATAATGTCCCCAGAGGATTTCTGCTCCAACCCCAGACACGTTAACAGACATTTCCAGTAGCTGTACTGGCCGCGAATGCATCCCAAGTCTTCAGAGCAAATTAATCATTAAACATGCTTGCTTTTAAACCATGTATTATACTTACAAAGGTACACTCACCAGAGGTGCCTTCTCCGGCTTCATGGTCCGGGAGCCCGCCCTGGGCAGGTATTGGCTCCAGGGTGATAAACAGTTCCTGGCTGTCAGGGAGAATGGTTTCTCCACTTGCCTGTTGTGCACTATCCTCCTCCTCCTCCTCCCTGTTGCGTGAGACTCCCCCTTTGCAGGTGTCCACGGACAGGGGTGGGGTAGTGAGAATTGCATGCAGCTCATCATAGAAGCGGCATGTCTGAGGCTCTGACGCGGAGAGGCCATTTGCCTCTTTGGTAGGCTTGCCTGAGCTCCTTAATTTTCATGCGGCACTGCCGCGGGTCCTTGTTATAGCCTCTGTCCTTCATGCCCTTGGAGATTTTTTCAAATATTTTGGCATTTTGTCTTTTGGAACAGAGTTCTGATAGCACGGATTCGTCTCCCCATACAGCGATCAGATCCAATACCTCCCGTTTCGTCCATGCTTGAGCTCTTTTGCGATTCTGGGACTGCATGGTCACCTCTGCTGATGAGCTTGCCACACTGGCCAAACAGGAAATTAAATTCAAAAGTTCCCGGTGCTTTTCCTGTGTACCTGGCTAGTGCGTCGGAGTTGAAAGTGCTGTTCAAAGTGGTCACAATGAAGCACTGTGAGATAGCTCCCAGAGGCCAATCCCGTTGAATTGCATCCACACTACCCCAAATTCAACCCGGTGATGTTGATTTCAGCGCTACTCCCCTCGTTGGGGAGGAGTACAGAAATCCATTTTAAGAGCCCTTTAAGTGGACAAAAATGGCTTCGCTGCGTGGACAGATGCAGGGTTAAATCCATCTAATGCTGCTAAATTCAAACTAAACTCGTAGTATAGATGAGGGCTAAGTAAGTGCCCTGATTTTCTCAAGTGCTGAGCATCCAGGAGCGCCCAATGACTTCCAGAGGAGCTGCCAGGTGCTCAGTACTTTTGAAAAATCAGGCCACCTACTTGGCCACCTAAATATGGGTGTCGGGTACTGGCATTAGGCACCTATTTTTGAAAATCTTGGTCTAAATGCCTTGCCCAAGGTTACATATGTCTGTGGCCGAGCTAGGAATTTACCCCTGATTGCAAACCCCATTGTAGCCCACTGACCTCCCTTCCGGTTCTTTTCATATATCCATTTTCAGTACTAGCCTTTTCTTATTTCAGTCCTGCTCCTTTTGCTTTTCTGCCACTACTGCATCCATCTCTGATCTCATTTCTTCTTCCCCTTTAATAGCCATAAACTGCAAACCCATTAATAGGCACTAAGAAGCCATCTGTTACAAGCCTGCATTGTAACAGGAAATCAACATAGCAGTGGCTTTACAGCAAGTTATTTGTATGCATTAGCACTATAATTTCCCATTAGAACTAGCCGCTACAGCACAAATCAATTTCTTTGAAAGCTTTTTGAAGGCTACTTTCTCAGCTGCACAAGCAGCATGGTAGGCGGCCAACAGTGTTCTTGTTTTAATGGCACTGATCTGGCCATTTGCCCAGTAAGAAATCTGGAATGAAAATATGATTAACTAAATAAAAATGATATTGGCAATGTGTCTTCTTTAAATCAAGATGCTTCTCTGAGGCAGGCATCACATTGCACAATTATCATGTTAGCTATAAATATTTGTGCAGTCCTGACAAAGCAAACAGTGGTCTTTAGTCTTATAACACTTTTACGACTTTAGTCTTATAACAACATTTTTGTTTCCTTTCCTATTCAAACTGTTGACAAGCCTGGGGTTCTCTGGTCAGGCTGCAGCAGAAAGATAAGAGCTAGTGTGAATTCAGTGGTGGTATCAGGAAAGGTTTTGTTTGGAACAAACAGTTCAATGGATTTTCCAAGCTCTCGTTTTAATAATGCAGAGGATATTTCACATGGAATGTTTCACGAATCCGTTGTCTGTTCACTGATCCCACGTAAATGAGGAAAAAGCTTTTTCCTGTTCGCCATACAAATTGTCTGCTTTGTAAACAAGCCCTATTTTGTATTTTTTTCCTCATCTGATGGGGTGTCTCCTGATTCTATCTGAGATGGATATGGCCAGCCACTTCAGAATGTCTCGGACAGGGTAAGTCTGGTAATAGCAGGAAAGGATTTTAAAAAACCTGGGATAGAGTTTTCAAAAGGCAAAGTCAATGAGGCATGTGCGCCTCGGTTACTTAGCCCAGATTTGTAAAGGTGTTGCTGCAGTGCAGCGCCTAATGTATTTAGGAACCTAACACATTTTCCAAAAGGGATTTAGGCACTTCAGAGCCAAAGTCTCATTGACAGCTGATGGGATCGAGGCTTGAGTGCCTAAATCACTTTAAAAAATGAAATAGAGGCATCTAAATCCCTTAGGCATTGCAACGTTGAGTGCAGCAACACCTACATGCCTTCGCAAATCTGGCCTTTGGGCCCTTTTCAAAATCCCACCTTGTAGCTCTTGTTGGGCCTTTACTGACACGACACCTCAAACAATTCCTGTATGGGAGAGGCATGGGGGGCGGTGGTAGACTAAGCTCTGACGCAGAGGTGGGATGAGCTCTGGCAAGCAGTGGAGGCCTCTTTACTGGCTGTGGTCAGAAAGGACCTGAGCAGAGAACCTAGTTGAAGCCACAAGGCTCATTAATCCCTGGATCTACAGATCTGAGTGTTGAGCTCCAGGAGTCGCTTTAGGCTGGTGCGTGTGTGTGAGCCCAAGGGTGGGGATCCAGTAGGATGAGCAGGATCTTTAGGGAGAAACAGGAGTGTAGTGACTGTGTGTGTAAATGGAGCAAATTCTCAAGCACCTGCTTTACCAACAGCACATGACAGAGCAAGAGCGCAAAGGAGCTGGACCTCTTCTGCCTGCTTCCAGGACAGTGCTGCAAAGTAACTTCACTGGAGAGGGGATTCACTCTGACCCCTACACTCTGGCTCCTCCCCAACTTATCTACTCTCTGGCCCGCCAGAGATGCCTGGCCTTAACTCACACTGCATGCCTAACTACACCATTTTAAAATAGTAACTCTGTCCTTATTCATGCATAGGGCCGGACTGAAGTCAGTGGTGCTACAGCGATTTACACCTGTGGACGTTCTGGCCGATACATTTAAGGTGAAAAGGGACCGTAAGGATCATCTAGTCTGACCTCCTGCATAGCCACTCAGCCTCACCCAGCCATTGTTGCACTGAGTCCAACAACGTACTAGAGCCTAACTTCTGGAAAGACATCCAATTTCAACGTAAACCTCAAGTGATGGAGAATGCACACTACAGCCTGTGGGAGTCTGTTCCAGTGATTAATTACCTTCCTGCACCATCAGTCCAATGAGCTCTAAACTCTTTATGGACAACAATCTTATTACCTTAGACAGATGAGGTAGCTAAGACAATGACGGGTTTCATTAGCCCCAGAGCTGTACACTCCCTGAAGTGGAATCTGGTCAACATAATGTAGCTTCTGGCAGACAGACAGCCTATATTTAAATTCTTAATTTACAAATGTAAATATCAAATATGCTTTAAGATAAAGCTGTTCATTAAGCTGCTAGAGCGTGAAGCATTACCACAGAACGTGCTGGACACAATAAGTTACATATTCTACACACCGCATCTCAATGGACCCAAGATGGGGAAATTCTGTTCGCGAGCACAGACGTCTTCCTGAAGGGGAAGTTTTATGCACAGTTCAAAGCATGCATTTTTAGAGCCAGTTACTTACCAGCTGCTGTTCTAAGGGTGGGATGGAACCATGGTGCCCGTAAATTATACCTGGGTTATACTGGCTGAAAAGAACTGGGTAAAATACTTTCTTCCCTAGAATGATGGATTAAAAGAGAAAGTTATTACTGATAAAGTTGTTTGATGCTCTAAAACTAGATTAAACTTGTGCTTCTCTGTGATCCTGGAAACAGACTTAGGGCTTTATCCAAATGCCATTCAAGTCTGTAGAAAGACTTCCATTGCCTTCCCTGGGTTTTAGATAAGGCCCACACAGTCTCAGTGTGTTGTGCTTTGGATGGAAAATGTGAACATGCAGATGTAGTTTGACAAAATGACCCAGGTGGACCCCAGAAAACAAGGTGACAAAGGCAAGGAATTCAATCATAGTGGAAGCTGATAATTTGTTTTTCTTCTCACTCCATCTAAAATGTGACAATCAGCAATATAGGCCTTTACTCTTAGGCAAGCCTTAGTAGAGCTGAATGTTAAGAATGCCTTACAATAGCTTGCTTGCCCACCTGAAAGAGGGAACACATTAGTGAAGGTTATTGCACAATAAAGAGAAGTCTGTTTAAAGGAGTAAATGCCCTAGGTAGCCATACCTGGCTGTGTGTTCAGTCTACAGGTGTTCAGGAATTCAGCAGTGAAGTATATATCTACATCACAAAAAAAGAGAACGACGTTGTTTCCTTTCCAGATGCGAGCACCTATGTCTAATCCTTTCCCTCTCGAAAATTCTTCATTCAGCTGGATAAAGGTGAAATTCTTGAAGTTAGCTGATCTAGGAGGAGCAGCAGTACATGAGATGAGGTTTAAGAGATAAAAGGGGCAGTCAACTCTTCATAAATGTCACTGTATTTACTGAACGACATATTTAAAAAAAAAGGAACATGGAGTTTATTTCTATGACACAGTAGGCAAAATGGGAATGGAATCTAACTCGGATCTTGTACTTAGAAGGTCTTTTTAAATATTTCTGGGATAGTATTCATAGGCTGTGAAGGAAACCAGGAAACAGCAGTAAGAGAGAAGGAGTTGTATCCCATTTTAATAAAATAATCATCTAGTTATTTTATGTCTAAGTTGTAAATTTTAAAATCAATATTTTAAAGAGATATTCACTCATATTTTTAGAGATATCATCAGAATTGTCAGCGTCTCTGAACTCTCTAATCCCCCCCAGCACATCAAGACATCTGCATAAGAAATCATCACACGGCCATGTGGACAGGTTGAACATGGCTATTTGCTGCGACTCCTGGTCTGTAAGCCTGTCATAAATATAAAGGGAAGGGTAACCACCTTTCTGTATACAGAGCTATAAAATCCCACCTGGCTAGAGGCAAAACCCTTTCACCTGTAAAGGGTTAAGAAGCTAAGGTAACCTAACTGGCACCTGACCCAAAATGACCAATGAGAGGATAAGATACTTTAAAATCTGGAGGTGGGGGGAGGGGCAGAACAAAGGGTTAGTCTGTCTTTGTGATGCTTTTGCCAGGAACAGATCAGGAATGCAGCCTTACAACTCCTGTAAAGTTAGTAAGTAATCTAGCTAGAAATGCGTTACATTTCCTTTTGTATAATGGCTGGTAAGATAAGATGTGCTGGATGGAATGTATATTCCTGTTTTTGTGTCTTTTTGTAACTTAAGGTTTTGCCTAGAGGGATTCTCTATGTTTTGAATCCGACTGCCTCTGAGATTATCTTCCATTCTAATCTTACAGATTGTTTCTTTTACGTTTTCTTTAATTAAAATTCTTTTTCTAAGAACCTGATTGATTTTTCATTGTTCTTAAGATCCAAGGGTTTGGGTCTGTGTTCACCTGTACAATTTGGTAAGGATTCTTATCAAGCCTTCCCTAGGAAAGGGGGTGTAGGGCTTGGGGGGGTATTTTTGGGGAATACATCTCCAAGTGGGCTCTTTCCCTGTTCTTTGTTTAAAACGCGTGGTGGTGGCAGCATACGGTTCAAGGACAAGGCAAAGTTTGTATCTTGGGGAAGTTTTTAACCTAAGCTGGTAAGAATAAGCTTAGGGGGTCTTTCATGCAGGTCCCCACATCTGTACCTTAGAGTTCAGAGTGGGGAAGGAATCTTGACAAAGCCATTTCCCTATTTTTCCTGGAGCTTCTCTGCTGAAACTGGGCATGATCCAAAATAATTGAAGCACTAGCAGGCTGTACTGAAGTTCCTGGAAGGATGCCAAAAGTGATCATTTGGACCGTTAATCAACACTTTGATGGTGCACATTGGTTAAATCCCCAGGCTTACTAGTGATTAGGATACACAAGGTGGGGAGTGACTTATCTCATTAGACGGAAGAACCCTACGAGCTGCTAAATCACAAGTCAACTGCTTTGTCGTCCCATCTGTGTTTGACAGCAAAGCTGCTGCATTATCATTCTCCAATTAGAAATGTATCTGCTAATTGCAAATGGTGGGAATTTCCTTTTAATTATTATCACTTAGCATTTGTTAAGCATGGTGTAGCTGGAGCTGTACAAGATACAGAGATGTATGTAGCATCTGTCCCAAGGAGCTTACAAAATAGGCTAACAAACAGGGAATCACTTTTAGGCTGGTCTACACTTTCACCTCATCCCTCCTCTCATGATGGAGAAGGGCCCCATTCCGCTCCTATGAGAGATAATGGCCACGCGTTTCTTGGCATTCCATCGACCTCTGTCAGACTCTTGCCCCACCCAGCCACAGAGCGATTATTGGAGGCTGTGCTCTGGAAGAGGTTGTACTGAAGGGGGGCTCAGTAACTGGGGGCTGTAATTCTCGCTCAGAGAAGGTGAGGTGCCCATGGTCTTCCATCCCATTGCTCTGAACTTCTCTTTTGGCATGTGCAGATGGGTCTTACATTGTCCCTTTGCCTTGGCCAGACACATCACCCCAGGAACCCCCAGCAGCAGCACCAGCTGAGGGAGAAGCTGTTGTAGCTTGGTCATGATGCTGAGCAGATATTTATAAACCAGCCCTCTTCCACTGCTGTGGCGTCATGTTTCAATTGCTGCTTAGCCTACTGAAATGGATCACTGGAGTATGGACACGAGTGGGGTATGGACAGGGCCACGCTCTGGGGACATTAGCATGGTTTTCTCTGAACTCCTGCAGGCCCCTGGCTCCCTGCAGGCCCAGCCCTGTGCTGCCAGCATTGCACGCTGGCAGTGAAGTGGGAACCACAGGATCCTGAACAGACGTGCTGGCCCACTAAGGACGCAGGAGCCGCTTTCTGACCAGGAGAGGGCAGACCAGGCTGTGCCACTGACGAATTCTACCCAACTCAGATTTCCTGGCATCTCCAGGCCGCCTTTGCTGCTGCTACCAAACCTGAAGGCTAGTCTATCTGAACATGAAGCCATGTGCCCCGGTGTATCATCCCGCTGCTGCTAAGGGTAGCAGAGAGGCGCATTCCTTCTTCCTGGGATATGCATAATGACAAGCCATGTGAATGATCATTTAGTGGCAGATCCAGCCACACCGTTTGTGCCCTTTCCACGGGTCCTGTGTATGTTCACATCCATCCCAGCGTGCACAGTCCCCCTACGCCATGTTCTAGCATAAGGCCGTATGAATGCTCTCTCCAGTAACATCTCTCCTGTACATTCAGGTACCACTTTCTGGCCAGACTTGTTCTAAGAATCCTGATACCTGCCCAGACACAGTCACCTGGCTCGGGAGGTGATAATTTACAAGCGCAGGCAACGCGGAGGTGAATTTTCCAAGGCCTTTCTAGCTGCCCTCTGAAAAGCCACATCACATGCAGGGGGGGTTAAGAGAGCTTTTTCTCCCCCACTAGAAAATTAGGTTGTGTTGGAGGAGTCATGGTAACAGACCCGATGGCAAACACAACTCAGCTGTCAGCACAGTAGGGGACCGTTGTGTTTCCCATCATGTCACATGGTTATAGTTAAAAACCTGTCGGAACAACAGCTTTAACCATGACCCACTGACACATTGTTCAACTGAACGGTCTGTGCCGACATGGGCCACAGAGGTGGGTGTTAACATCACTCCTCAGGGTGAATGTCTCATACAGCCTAATTTTCTAGTAAATGCCCATCTTGCCCCACCTTCCACGCCATCAATGGAGGTTATTGCACTAACAATGGAATAGGATAGAAATCGGAAACCTAGGTACAGCTGAGGCTATGGAACAGTGCAACAGTTGGAGTCAAGCTCAGGACTCTGAACATTCCCTGAAATCCCATTTCATGCCACCTGAGCATAAAAACAACATTATAACAAAGAAATAATCAGCTGCCAGACTGAGCTGCCCTTTGACTACAGCGCGGGATTAGCTGAATGGATCCATCACTTCAAGCTAGGCCTCTACACAGGTTTTCTCCTTAGAACTGCAAATGCAAAATGAACAGCATTCACTCATACTCGGAACTATATTCACTCATGCTCAGGCCCAATTGGTGAACAAAATAATGAAGGGATGAGTTATGCCACCTACCACTCTTTTTATGGGGTCCTTAAAAGAAGACACTTTGGAGGGGAATGCTCATTACTGTGACACTGGCTGACTGAAAGAAGGGGAAGAAGCAAGCTTTACCCCCATGGCTGCCGCCCCTACCATCTCCTAGAACACTGGACCTTCTTAGTCCAAATCCCAGGAGGTCCTGACCAGACCAGGCCAGAGGGAGGGAGCCAGCCAGATGACAGCACCCCCTCTAGTGGCTTCAGCTAAATTCTGACCACCACGTGGGATCTGAGACTTTGTGTCTCCCCCTTTCCTCTGCCCACCACCACCATGTATCCTTTTCATTCCCTACCTTATTTCTTCTTCTTCTCTTTCCTATCCCTCTCCTTTTCCTTTCTGTCTAATAAGAATCTGGCTTAGCCAGCCAAGACTATAGATTTTTGCGACACTGCTGTACGCCTGTGATCAGAAAGGCAGTTAAAAGCAATGCCCTGACCAGCCCGATGATGGTACGAGTTTGCCAGGTCTCAGAGTGGCTGATCAGCCCACGTGCTGTGCCTGTGTTTTTCCAGCAGCAAGGTTGCGAGTGAGTGTCAACACCAGAGACAGAAGCTGCATTTTCTATTTTTGCTGTTCTTTCCTCTTCCCTTTGCGTGTGTTTCTCTTGTTTGGTCTTTTAAGAAATAGAATGGGACTTTAACAGCAGCAGCATCAAAGACAGCTCCAGCCCATTCCAGTGATTTTCATCTCTTTTCTCCAAAGAGGACAGTCATTACCTTCTAAAAGGCTGTCAAATAAGGCTTTTTTCTCCTTCTAAAAAATCTCTCCAGCTAAAGGGAAAGGAACATGGGATACGGTTCAAATAAAAGCCTCACATAATACTTTATATTTCAAATGTGTGAGCTGTTTCCTTTTCTGTATTTTAATAAAAGGCTAAAAATGTTTAATGGTGTGTTTGTCATGGAACTAAGCAGGCTGAAGTCTCTGTATATCCAATCCCAAACCTTGTTTAATATGGTTTCATGTTGGTCAGTAAGTGACAGGGTCATGTTACAGACCTTTGACTCTTTGGACCCATTTATTCCATTTAGATTAATACAACAGACTCCCCTCAGCCTTCCCCTCGATAGATTAAACATGCCTAATTCTATCAAACTTTCCTCCTAGGCCTCGTTTTCGAAAACCTCTTATTTTCGTTGCTGTCCTCTGGCCTCGCTCCAATTTGTTCCCGTCTTTCTTAAAGAGGGGTGCCCAAAAGCGGTCACAGTACTCCAGCTGAGACCTCACTGGTGCTGAATAGAGCAGGACAATTACCTCCCATGTCTGATATAGGACACTCCTGTTAATATATCCCAGAATGACATTTGCTTTTTTCACAACAGCATCACATGTTGACTCATTCAGTGCATGATCCAAGATAATCTCCAGATCCTTGTCAGCAGTACGATCACCTAGCCAGTTATTCCCCATTTTGTAGTTATGCATTTGATTTTTCCTTCCTAAGTGTAGCACTTTGCACGTCTTTAATGAATTTCGTCTTGTAGATTTCAGACCAATTCTCTAATTTATCAAGGTCAGTTAGAATTCTATTCCTGTCCTCCCAAGTGCTAGAGACCTCTCCCAGCTTCGTGCCATCGCAAATTTGAAAAGTGTGCTCTCTACTTCATTATCCAAGTCATTCGTGAAAATATTCACTAGTACTGAAATTCTGAAAGAGTTGAAATTCTCAAAGAGTATTTCCCAGAGCGCCCCATGGGAGGTGGCAGGGCTTGGGGCATCAGTCTTGCGGGTTTCAAAATATTTATCAGAGCTCTGCTCCAGACAGCTCCAGCTGAATTTAAGCCCTGAATAGTACTGAACCTAGGACAGACCCTTATCAGGCCCCACTAGATACTCCTTCCCAGTTTGACAGTAAACCATTAAGAACAACTCTTTGAGTAAGTTTTTCAACCAGTTGTGTACACATCTGATAGTAATTTTATCTAGACCATATTACGTAATTTGCTTATAAAAATGTCATGTCATAATAAAGGTGGAGAAAAGGAAAGAGTTCACTGTTTCAGACTGGAATTTTCAAAAGGCCTAAAGGAGTTAGGTGCGCAAATCCCTTTGAAATTCAGTGAGATTTAGGCATCTAAATGCGCTTAGGCCCTATTGAAAAGCCCAGCCTACCTCCATCTCTCCAAGTTAAGCTTCAGTGCCAACAGATAGAAGCTGCTCATGCAAAGGTTAGAGGAATTCAGGCCTGATCATTGTTACAGATGTCGAATGGGAGTTACTCTGGCCTAAGTCCATGACTCTAAATATTAATATTCACAAATGCAGATCAGGGAGCATCAGGGAAATGTCATTTCTGACTGGAACAAGGGAACTCTCCAGAGGGGAGGGGAAGGATGAACTATCCCCCTGCTGACAGTGCTAGGGAAAGGCAGTCTGGCTTCTCGGGCTGTCAGTGTGTGAGAGGAGCATGCCTCACTAGGCACCAATCTAGACCCATACTCACTTGGAGGTGTTTTCAAGTATTGCTTTCACTTCATTCATTTGTTCTTTTCCAAAGTAAACTACAGTGAGGTGAATTCTCCCATCCTGCTCAATGCCCATTTCCCTAGAACAGACATCAAAAAAAGTCATTCATTGACCTTGGAAGTTTGCTTTCCCAAACAACACCTGCCATCTCTAGCTGGGAACATAGGATGGTGCTGAACTCTGCAGGCCAAATTCTCTGTTGGTACCACTCCACTGAGATCCTTGCACCAGCCCAGTGAGATCTTTGCAGCCCTTCATTGAGATCCTTGAATCCATCCAGAGCTACACTGGCTCCATTCGAATGTGCTTGCAGGATGGGGCCTAAGATACTTCATAGCTCTGCATTAGCAGGCTATAAATCATCATCTAGTAGTTATCTGAGTTATGGCAGAGCACTATTGGAATAGCCCATCCAGTCACCTGGATGATGGACGGAAAGCCACTGTAGGAAAGCCCACAATTGTGCGTCAAACTACTAAAGCCAGCAGGTGCTACCTCAGCAACCACGAGGCCGTGAGAGAAGGGGGAATTCAAAGAGGGAAATAAAATCCTGTACCCTCATTTCTATTTCTTCTATATACTAGCATGTCTAGTTATGTCCCTGAAAATTGTGTAAGGAGTATCCACTAAAATTAAACTCTCAAGACAGACCTAAGAAGAGCTCTGTGTGGCTTGAAAGCTTGTCTCTCTCACCAACAGAAGTTAGTCTCATGAAAGATATTACCTAACCTGCCCCACCTCCATTTCTCTAAGAAAGAGCAAATCATGTGGCCTAAGAATATCTGCATCTGTCAAGATGTGTGTGCTTCTTGGGCAACTACACAGCTAAGTTATTTGGGTGTCTCAATTTTCTTATCAGAACGCAAGGCCCGCCACTGGGCAGGTTATTCTTAGTGCTGACTGGTTTCAGAGTAACAGCCGTGTTAGTCTGTATTTGCAAAAAGAAAAGGAGTACTAGGTTAGTCTCTAAGGTGCCACAAGTACTCCTTTTCTTTTAGTTCTGACTGGGAGCTATGTCTTGATTAAATCCATTCCTGCAATTGCTACACCCATGTTGGGAAAGAAGGCCATAAAGGAAGAGCCTTGATCAAAAGTAACAAGGAGAGAACACTTTTGAATCCAGGCACATTTCTTATTGCCTTTCTGTCACGGCCTCGACACGCAGTCCAGAGATCATACAAATGACTCTTATTTTCTAGAAACCTTCCTGTGCTACTTAAGGGACTGAAACTGACACATTCATTGAAGTGGCTCTGGCACCTGCTCTCTCAAAGATGGAAATAGCAAGTTTCCGATCGAACGAAACACCTCGTACATGGTGCATCAACTTCAGAAACACTGATGACTGCAATATAACCTTTTCCTTTGGTCTCCACTGCTAAAGCTAATTGCTGTTCATGTGAAATCTCTGTTGATCCAAGGAAACGCAAATGGATTTTTTTAATGATAAATTGATGGTTTTATGAAAAAAAAATTTTTTTTCCACTGGGAAAATCCCTGGTGCTTGCAAAATTGCATCATACTGCATAAAAATATCAAGATAGCTATAGATCCATAAAAAGGAACAAACCTGAAATTTTGCATAAATTGTCGAAACTTGCTGGCTCTCTTTGCTAATGGGACTACAATGTTAATGAGTGTGTTGGCCATGTTGAGGTTCTCATTCTTCACTTTCATGATGGGACCAAATGGTCTGAATAAAACGATTCGTCTGAATTCGTGTGATCTGTCTCCTTTGAAAGTCAGCTCATACAATGTGCCTTTGTCTTTTTCTGTTCGGTACATGCCTGTTAGAAGAATATGAAAGAAGAGAAACATTAGTATGGAACTAATTCCCCAGGAAGAAGTTGCAATATTAGGTTGCTTTTGTAACTTAGATTTAGCAGCAAATAAATGAAACTTTTCCCCCCACAAAAAAATCAGTCTATGCACCAGTTCTTCCATAGTTTGAAACTAGAACTCAAAATCTGATGGGGGACAGTCTCAGATTTTAGGAAGGTGACTTTTGTATCTCCCATAAAAATCCACCCAGATTACAAGTATCTGAGAATCACCATTTGCACACACACAGTAGAACTTGGTAGATGCTTGCTCCTTAATTTTCAGGATGTTCCAAATGCACACAGCTGCCAGCCACCCACAAAAACATTGAGTCCACAGGGATGGAAAAGGCAGAGGGATTTTGGAAAGGAGCTCTCCCCACACATTTGATTCCTCTAGCCCCTAGAGAAGTAGGTTCCTGACACTGACAAGTATCTGAAGCTACACTACCAGGTTCCCCCCTCCCCCGCCCCCCGGAGAGTTTTTACTAGGCACAGATGAAAAATCCTGTACAGAAAGTGTCCAAGGTCCTGGTAGACACCATTTTCTTCATTATTAAATTGCAGAACCAGGGAGTGAGGAAGTGACTATGGTGAGCTCTCATTTTTGAGATGCTTTCTAGAGATGTGGAAGGTTTATCCCTCCAGGGTAGTAATGTCCATTGGCTCTGAGAGGATGTCACGGAACCCTGCCCTTTGCTTATGAGCAGCAGAGACCTGGAGATTGCTTGGGATGCTCACTGAGGGGATTTCACCCTGGTAAGCAAGGTGACCAAGCATGTCATCATGAAGACCCCCTTGTTGCCACACAGCTGCAGCGATCACCACTTTGGCTTCTGAGACCATCCATGGTGCATATGCCTGGCAGCACTGGAGTACAGGGAACCAGCTGTGAACCTGAGACATCTCTGGTATGACTGAGCTGGTATGACAGTAATGACCTTCAAAACAATGGAGGCCAGGAAATCTCTGGGTGTTGATAGGTGCTAGAGTTGATCTCAGAGACTCTTTCTTGAGGCTAATTCAGAAACTGTTTGAGTCACTTTAGATCTAGGATAAACCTAAAACACCCAGTTTTCCTTGGGGCTAGGAAGTACCTTCAAGACTGATTATGGCTGAGGTTTTTCAAAGAATCCTTGGGGAAGTTTATGATTCTATGAGTTGGAAGCCCAAGTCCCATTGAAATGCAACCAAAGCTGGGTCGTCATAAATATAAAGGGAAGGGTAAACCCCTTTAAAATCCCTCCTGGCCAGAGGAAAATTCCTCTCACCTGTAAAGGGTTAAGAAGCTAAAGGTAATCTCGCTAGCACCTGACCAAAATGACCAATGAGGAGACAAGATACTTTCAAAAGCTGGGAGGAGGGAGAGAAACAAAGGGTCTCTGTGTCCGTCTATATGCTGCTTTTGCTGGGGATAGACCAGGAATGGAGTCTTAGAACTTTAGTAAGTAATCTAGCTAGGTATGTGTTAGATTATGATTTCTTTAAATGGCTGAGAAAAGAATTGTGCTGAATAGAATGACTATTTCTGTCTGTGTGTCTTTTTTGTAACTTAAGGTTTTGCCTAGAGGGATTCTCTATGTTTTGAATCTAATTACCCTGTAAGGTATCTACCATCCTGATTTTACAGGGGTGATTCCTTTACTTCTATCTACTTCTATTTCTATTAAAAGTCTTCTTGTAAGAAAACTGAATGCTTTTTCATTGTTCTCAGATCCAAGGGTTTGGGTCTGTGGTCACCTATGCAAATTGGTGAGGATTTTTACCAAACCTTTCCCAGGAAGTGGGGTGCAAGGGTTGGGAGGATTTTTTGGGGGTAAGACGTGTCCAAACTACGTTTCCCAGTAAACCCAGTTAGAGTTTGGTGCTATATGCCCCAGTGCATGGCGTAAAGACAGGAAATTCACCACAGCAAGCAATGCAACTAATGCCCCACAGTGGTATGTGGAGACCTACCCAACTCATCCACAGGAACCTGTCCTGAGGTCTCCAGGCCATTAGCAGCCTCAGTGACATGGCCCACGGCTCCATCCATATAGGGGCTAAACCCACAGAGCCCCTGTCCAGACCTATCTGCATTCACTCATGGGACGTGACCACCTACCAAACTCTAGCTTCTGGACTAACCCTTCAAGGGACCTAAGCAATTTGGGGGCAGTCTGCCTTTGAGCCTGAAAAAATCCTGGCAGAAAAAGACTTTTCTCCTGACTCCAGCCAAAGAGTTGAAGGCCTACCACAATACAAATAAGCTGGAATTTTCCAAGAAGCCTAAGGATGTAATACACCCATGTCAAGGTTCCTCCCCCACTCTGAACTCTAGGGTACAGATGTGGGAACCTGCATGAAAACCTCCTAAGCTTACTTTTACCAGCTTAGGTTAAAACTTCCCCAAGGTACAAATTAATTTTATCCTTTGTCCTTGGAATATCCACTGCCACCACCAAACTCTAACTGGGTCACTGAGGCTGCTAATGGCCTGGAGACCTCAGGACAGGTTCCTGTGGATGAGTTGGGTAGGTCTCCACATACCACTGTGGGGCATTAGTTGCATTGCTTGCTGTGGTGAATTTCCTGTCTTTACGCCATGCACTGGGGCATATAGCACCAAACTCATAAAGCCAAAGTGTAATTTTTGATGAACCACAAGGTGATGCTGCTGAACTTATTCTTCACCTGATGTGTCTCAATAAACACCTATGTATGGTGCCAAAGCACCTGTCTCGCTCCTAACAGCATCAAAATATCATATGGCAATATCCCAATGCTTAGGGGTGTATTATTAGGTTTCTGCAGGAAAGTAACTTTTTATGTACTTAATGGGTGAAATTCAGCCTGTGCCGAGGAGCCAGCACAAAGCCAATGCACCCCGCAAAGGCCTGTTTCAAGAACTTGTGGGCTGTAGGTTGCCCACAGGCCTTAGAATTCATCAATTAAGAATGAAACCCCCACTCCCACATTGGGTATTTGAGCAAATCACTTTGTCCTACCCAGGTTCATTGGCATTTTAATTATTCTCTCTCAGACCCACTTCTTAAATTCAGTTTGAAAGCCGCAACAAATACACAGAAGAGTAGAACTGGATTTCTCTGCCTCTCTCATAGGAACTCTGGGGGCTAGCAGAATGCACAGTTAAATGCAGGTCTGCAAGAAACCAAGGAAAAGGGGTTTCCTTCTTTTTTGATCTTGGTCCTTATCCAAATGACCATTTCTTGGCACTCTGTTTTCTGTCTCCTAGCCAATGTCTGATCCATTATAAATGGTATTTTTGCCTCTTGCCCCCATGACTATTTAGTTTCCTTGACACCCTCTTGTGAGAGACTTTGTTACCATTTTTTTAAAAGCCCTAAAAGATGACGGTAACTGCTTGTCCTTTATCTCTGATTTTATGGACATGTTCAGAGAATTCTAATAGATTAGTGACGCATGATTTTCTGTGGCAGGAGCTGTACTGGGTTATCCCCATTGTATCATCGTCTAGGTGTTTTATCATTGTACTTTTAATTATAATTTCAGTTAGTTTACTGGGTACAAAAGAATGATTTACTGGCCTATCACACCCTAGATCACCCCAGACCCTTTTTAGAAATAAAGAGTTTCAGCATTTGCTCCCCTCCAGGGTAGGAGCTGATTTCAATGAGAAATTTCATGTTTTTGTTAACAGCTCAACCACTTCATTAAGTTAATAATTTCAAGGTGTGTTTTGATCTATAAAGTCTTGTATAGTTTGGGCCCTGGATATCTTAGAAACTGCCTCTCTCCTCTCTCAGTGCTTTAGCTGACCAGCTGAGATCACCTGAATGACTTGAGTTTATAGTTCTTGGATATATATGTCTCGGGGATGGGATTCAGGTAGAATCAATGGAGTTTCTGTGGCTCTGGAATTTCCTTCCTCCATTATTCTGATGCAGAGTTTGTTGATGTTTTGAGTATGCTGCAAGGTACATCTATTTATTTAGGCTTTTTCTGAAGGGATGGCTTGAGAGAGAAGGCTTTAATTAGGAATCAGAGGGGAAGTGGTCCTTTAGTGTCTGTTTTTTTTCTTTAGTTTTTAAACATTATGTTAATTGGTTTGGTTTTTAAAATCTTGACTGTGCATCTAGTGAGACACTCATAGCACATTGCATACATTTGAAAAATAGATACTTCTAATAGCAAAGAAGGCTTAAATTAGATTGTTTAATACAATTTAGCCATCTAAAATTTTCCATTAGATCTTTGCATGCTTTTCTACTCCAGCCAAACAGTAACTATCCTGCTATTTGTTTTCCCTGGGTAAGCAGTTCACTAATATGGAAATAAGGGTGCTTTATCATGCAACTAGATGCCAAATTTCCTATCTCATTATTGTTGTTGTTTATGACTTGTATTACAGTAGAACCTACAGGCCCCAACAGAAACCAGGGCCCCATTGTGTTAGGTGCTGTACACAGTAAAACACATCCTGCTATCAAAGAGTTTACAATCTAAGCTCCCACATTCTGCAAAAATTATGCATGAGCGTAGTTCTGTTGAAGCCAATGTCACTAATCAGAGTGTGTTAAGCTCAATGCATGATTCTTTGCAGGATTAGGGCATAAATAGATGAAAGGAATATGATTCCCACTTTATAGCTGGGAAATCAAGTCACAATCTAGTGATGTAAACACACCACCACCCTTCTGCTTCAGTACTAAGACTCCTTGAATTCTCTGAGGAATTCCTTCATTGTTATTACCATGCCTAAAACCATCAAAAACCTTTTTAACAAGTTCTGTGACTCAAAAGTGTACGTCAAGTGGTTTGAATTTACTGAAAATGAGCTGTGCCTACAAACAAGTCTTGCTAAAAGAAATTGCTTTAAAAGTTTCCCCAAGAAAGTACCAAGTTTTGTTAAATTTAGATAGGAGCTATGATATCTGAACAGGATAATCCGTTACTTTTGCTGCTGTCAATACATTAACTAGTTTCAGAATGTCCACTGGTTTCCA